TAGTCCAACAACGAGTCTAGTGGCAGCGCGTTGTACACGCTGGAACTTAGCCAGTTCACCGGCCGTGCAAAGGTACGTCGCCGCACCACCGTACTCAAGTCTTGGCCTGACATGGGAAGCGTACAGCAGTCTGAAAGCGTTCATCGTGAGCTGATTGAAAGACCACCAAATAGGCGCCAGAATGCTTCATGCGCTAGCACAGACCCCATCGGTGTTTTTTGCGACTTTAGTGATGACCTAACCATAACACTCAGGTCTCGTTCGCACGATGTTTTGTGCAATTCGGCTCCCTGGAAGTTGTAGCCTACCTCTGAGTCAACACACTCCAAATGCAGGTGAGCACACTTTGCTATTTTGAGTGAAAGAGCTCAGGTGTCCGCCCACCGAGCCAGGTTGTTCAAATCCGCTTGAACGGAAGTTCGATCATTCGGATCCTTGATTGTACGCCAGATTTTGATGTCATCCGCAAACATGAGGGGTGGGCTGCACAGTTGACCAGACAGGTCGTTCACATATACCACAAAGAGCAATGGACCAAGAACCGAGCGTTGGGGGACTCCACTGGGAGCGGAATACCAACCAGAGAGCGAGTTGCCAACACGGACGCAGAATTTCCGATCGATGAGGAAGTCCTGTAGCCAATTCCGCATTACCACACCTACACCTAGGTTGGACAGCTTTTGCAGAAGGAGGTCGTGCGGCACCTTGTCGAAAGCCTTTCTGAATTCCACGAAGATGATGTCTGTTTCGTGTCCTTTGGCCTTGTCCTCGGTCCAGCATTCACGTGCAAGTAGCAGATTTGAGACGCATGAGCGACCCGGCCGGAAACCCTGTTGTCGCTGGCACAGGTAACCGTGGCACATCAAATGCTGTCGAAGCCGTGCAGCCACCAGTCGCTCCATTACTTTATCCACAACGCTATTAAGGCCGACTGGTCGGTAGTTCCCAGGTTCACTCCTATCCCCAACTTTGGGCAGTGAAACAATGACAGCGTCCTTCCACTGCCGCGGTAAACGCCCTTGAGTGAATGACAACTTGAACAGGTTGCACAGTGGTGCTGCAAGTTCATCTGCCAGCTCCTCCAGGATCAGCGGATGTACACCATCAGGTCCAGGTGACTGGTGAACCTTTGGTCGACGCAGCTCTATGGCCACCTCTCCGATGGTAAATAGGGCCCAGTTCAACGCAGAGTCCGTATCCAGTAGATGTGCCAGCGTGCTGGAGATTGGGGTGTACACTGAGGCATATTATGGTACCAGCATCTCCGCTTTGTACTCATTTTTTTGACTAGTGCCCCATCTTTGGCGAGAGTCGAGAGACCAGGTGTTGCTCTGATTCTTCGCCTGAGGTAGGCATACAATCGCTTTGATGCTTGTACTGAATCCGCTGCTAGTCGTTCCTCGAATCTGGTTCTCTGGCATTTTGTGAGTGCAGTACAATGATTCCGAATACATCGATATTCCCCATATCCTGCGCTTGTTACACGGTATCTGGACCAGGCTTTATTGCGCTGCCGGAGGCACGCCCGCAGTTCTCGGTCAAACCACGGCGGGCCGATAGCGTGCGTTCGGTGGCGGTGAGGTGGTGAGAATTCCAGTCCGAGTTGCTGGATTCTATGACGAACCAACTCCCAGGATACAACCCCATTCTCAGGGTTCCGGGAATCCCAATTTCTGAGTAATGCAGGCTGACGCATATCCGGAAAGGATGAGCGCCACATTCCTTCCGTCCTGTAGTCTGTGCGTTTCGGGTACGCCACGCCTCCAGTGTATATGCAGAACATAGTGATCACTAGATGCAATTGGTGGAAGGAGGTCAATCCTAGTCGTATCTGATTGCCTTGGCGAAAATAACAGGTCAAGGATGGATCTTTGATCCCCAACTATCCGCGCGGGCACATAAACATGCTGAAAATGCGAGAGGGCCCGGACAGCAAAAACAAGTTCTCTGGAGAACAAATCTGCTTGCTGAGAGCGGATGTCAGTTTCCCAATCAGCAAGGGGCGCGGTGAAATCACCCAGGACCAGACAATGTCCATCGCAGGCGTACCTCCGTAAGCTGGCCAGCAGCTCTGGGACGTACACAACTGATGTGCGGTAAATCACTCCAACTCTGATATACCCTCCGGCAGAATGCTTGATTCTGCACCACAGGGCTTCTCCAAATCCTTCAGGATAAGCGCAATTCTCCAGCTTTTGAACAGGAAAACCCTAGCGGACAAAAAGCACAACTCTATCACCGTGACGTGACGATGATCGATCCGTTCGAAACACTGTGTATCCGTGGAGTGGTATTTCTGAGTCCCGGACATCCGGTGTCAGCCAAGTCCCAGTGATAGCAAAACGATCGGGATTGTGGGATAGAACCCAAGCCTTCAGCTCAGCATTTTTTCCCAGCGTCCCTAGGGTATTGGTTGAGGCCAGCAGAGAGTTGTTACCTCGCCATTCGCGCCTCAAGCTAATCCACCTCTCAGTGGTTAGTCTCCTGGGTCCTCCCTCCGACCAAGGGTAGTCAGCGCAACTGAGGGTGCTTCCGATGCACACGAACATCCCGTATACACAGATCAGTTTTACCTTTTGCACGGCGCTCCCTGAGTTCTGCTAATGCAGTTTTCAATTTACTGCGCTGGTCCGGCTCAAAATCCCTGAGGAATTACACCAGAGTTCCCTTCAGCTTGTAAGTCCGCTGGAGTATCGCTTCAGCCCTGCTTTCTGCTGGAAGAACCACTTTCAGTTGTCGTGGAGAATTATCTTATCGGGGTTTACCAAGCCTGAATACCGCTTTTACTCTGATTGATGCCGCTGGTTCCACCTAGTCGCCATCAAACAAGATAACAAGGTAACCATGTGCAGCAACTGCAGGTCGTGGTCCAGGCGAGTCTGGCCCGTGGCGGCCTCGGCTTTCGGAAGATTGAGGACAATAAGGTACTGAGATCTCGGAGGGAGCTTCTTCTGCTGCATAGGTTCCTGTCCGTGGTATGCTATGCGCACCGTGCCTGGATGTCGTGGACGAGGGAGTTGAGTATGTCCGTGAGGGCGATGCAGCAGACAATATCCCTGCACATTTTTGGTGCCTCTGCTGCGGTGCAGCTGCAGGAGCTGCCTTTCCAAG